ATTACTTGATTTTTGGCCTCTATATATGCTTTCATTTTTCTATTGGTCAGTCGTACAAGAAATGGTGTTTTTGAATTTATGAAAAACAAGATGCCATTTTTTTGGAAAATTGTTGCTTTTCTAGGAACCTGTTAATTTTTCAGAAACTGGGCGATTTTATGGAAAATCAGGCAATAGCTTGAGAAATTTTTATAGAAAATTCTTAAAGATATTTTCCTCTCTACAAAATCGATACTTTAGAAAATCGAATGCATTTTCTATACAACATAAAACCCGGATTGCTAATGTACTGAAAAATCCTGCACAGATGAGGAAGGTTATACCATTGATATAAAGCAATTATATTGAAAAATATATTTATACTTCAAGAGATAGTAAAAAATAATAATCTAATGCTTTTGGAATAGTTCTGTAGAACCTGAACGATACTTGAACTTCGTGTATTAACAGTATTTCAGCGTCAGCGAACTCAAATATTTCACATGTACAAAGAAACTAATATGTTAAGTAATAATACTTTGTAAGTAAGGTGCACGCAAAACAAAATTTTAGCAAAATTTTTTTTTCGATAAAAGACACATATTCGGATTTGCCAGAGCATGCTGATCACGAATATGACCTTGAAAGTTGAAAAAACCTTTTTTCGGGGAGAAAAATGCAAAATACTGAAAAGCTCCAAAAACTTCGAAAATTCTTGGCCTTTCGAAAAACACTCATAACTTTTTATAGAAAGTAGCTACAGGCTCAAACCTTTTTTGTTCGATTCCTCGTCGAAAACTGGGTATATCCATACTAGTTTCAGACTCTTAGACCGTAATTTGAAATTTTGGCGCTGCTCGCGATAGAAAACTCTGAAAAATGAGACCCCTGCGCCAAAAACGTATCTAGTTTTTTTTGGTGAGGAGCTAACTCATTGAATTTTATGCCATTCGATAGCTCTATACTCCAGCTATAGCCGTAAGGAGGGGTTTTGGGAAAAAAATTTTTTTCGTTGAGAAAAAGTATTTTTACTAAAAATCAAGAAAACCCCAAACAGTGCTTTTTTCAACTGTATGCTATTTTTAATTTTTAAACTTCTTTTTTGAGTTTTTGGGAGGCCAGGGTTGATGGGAGACTACAGTATCGAGGCTTCTCGATACTTCTCGTCTCGGTGCATGCCTATAGAACATAACATCAGGACTTAAACTATTCTAACTATTGTTAATAGTATTAGTTATAAATAAAATATAAGCACATGGCATATTTTTTCATTGACATGTAAAACTGGAAATCTTGTTTGAGTGCTAAAAATAAAGATTTCAAAAATTTGCGTGCTTTTCATAATTATCAGTACATAACAGAACGTGTTAGGTTGTCGGTTCGTTCTTGTGTTATGGAGCTTGATCCTAATAGATGGTGTTCCAATAAACACGATGTTTTAATTAGACTCAATCGATAGAAAATTGAATTTCCTAGAAAAACCTGCTGTCTGAATCTCTGTTTGCATTTTTCTCGTTTGATCATCATTCAAAATATTGAAGGGTGCTGAGCTGTAGAACTGCGATACACTGAAAACAGAAAAGTATTTTTGATCCAAAAATAGATTCCATAAGATTTCGAAAATATCAGAAGGCTCTCTGGAAAATTTTGCATCTTTCCACATATCTTCGAGGACTTAGCACCATTCAGTATTTTGAATAAGAGGAAAATGCTATCGGAGATTCAACTAGCAGGTTTGATAGAGAATTTAATTCTGTATTGGCTAAACTTAAAAATGAACTCTTTGAACCACTGGACTCATCCTCGAAAACAAGGAACAAAAGTGATCCGTTTTTTCTGGACTACATCATTCACATCGTTGGCTTATTTTTTAGGATTTGGAACGTATAATGGAACGATATGTTGATCCACTTCGTGAAGATGAGACATTATCTCCATCAGATTCAATCGAATCATTATATATTAGTGTAAAGTTTATTATAAAATTACAAAAAACGTTTCTTGAATCATTAGAAAATTCAATATCAACTGCAGTATTAGCATAAAGAGGTTTCCTAGTAAGATTCTTACTAGACGTTCTTTATTCTTTTGTGTAAACATTTTTTGGATATATTTGCCAGTAGTTACTGTATAGGAGTATCAAAAGAGAAATTTAGAATTTTTAGGTTGGGGGAAAACACCGGGTTTTGGGGGCATTAGAATTTTCGACCTAAAAGGCTTTTTCATCAAAAACTAACGTCATATTCATACTCAGCGTCAAAAACTACATTTCGTGATGTGTCATTCGACTTTTAGCAATAGCCTTGCTCACATCGAAAAAAAGTCCTTTCTCCACTCAGGTGTTTAGTGAATAAAACGCCTGCGAATGTCATTTTAGATAAAAGCAAGACTTTTGCTACAGGTCGAATGACACATCACTAAATGTAGTTTACACAATACAGAATGATGCATTTTTGATACTCGATTTTAGCCAAGTACATTTTTTTTTTCTGTAGCAATTTGGGCTCAATGTCAAAGTCAACTGATGTTTGACCGACTCACATCTGAGCACCGACATTTGAGCGCCGACATTTGACCGACCCCGACTTTGGAACGAATTGTCTCGAATTTCATATCCTTGTCGGAAATGTCGGCTCAAATGTCGGGATCGCTCAAATGAGGGTCGCTTAAACGCCGATTAATCAATGTCGAGGATCGTTTCGTTAGAGCACTGTGGGCGCAATGTATTTTATGTTTATCGATCATTGAAAACAGTGCACAGACAAACCAAGTCCTCTTCTATTCCGGTATGGTGGGTGCTAATGCTGTAAAACTGCAAACCCTTCGTTTTTCTTCTGGCTTTAGGAATTGCTATCCCAAGCCGGATCCAGAATATATAGTTTTGATTGAACTATGTCTCACATTATTGATGTGCATTCTTTACTTTTTGTCTCTTCGTGACGATCCGTTGCATTTTGACTAACTGTAATATAGTATTTTAGATTTTTTAGTTTTGCTGAGCATCGATTTCAAGGTAGTCGGTCACTGCAGTGATAATAATTAAGACGTAAAGTAACTCTCAGCTGACTTATCAAATCCACCGTCCCTGTATTGGCTGATATTTCGTCTTGAACTTGAAAGGATGAGTCAAGGTTTCTCTGAAGATGCGCCATACACCCACAAACTACACTCTTGCACCAAAGCATCAGCATTGCTCACAGTCATCACGGTAATATTGCTCTTTACCACCTATCTTTACATGTTCGTAAATGGTGGTTATGTAATTTTGTTGCGGAGCCATTTGGATATCCGTCAGCGGACCAAGCGTGCACCGCTGATAGCTCATTGTATGACAGGAGAGCCAAGAACGCTTTATTATGATGAAGTATTTCAAACATACAAGAAAGTGGTCTTGGATAACTTTCCGGGCGACGTACTGGCCGTGCTTCAAATGGGCGGGAGCGACAAAGTTCATGGAATTGAAGTGCTGAAACCAAATGAAACCACATATAAAAGAGCTTTGACGACAATAAATCCAATGCGAACCAAGTGGATGAATAACCTAAATATGCAACATGATCCAGGAGGTTATGAAAAATGGAAAATATGTATGATAATGATCGAAGAAGAGGAGAAAAGGAAAGGTATGAAATACGAGTTTGTTGTCCGTACTCGTCCCGACTTGATGATTGTCAAAGAGCTTCCACCTCTCGAAAGATGGCCGATCGATCGAGTTCTCGTAAGCCCCTATTACGAGTGTCTCCAGGAC